CCCCCCATCCATCTCGGGTGGGGATTGGGGCGCCACGCCGGAGCAGCTAACGCATATGGGCTGGACATGACGTCTTCGCGGTCGCGTCGCGCGCGCAGACTCGCGCGCGCGTAAGTCGACCGCTCGCCAGAGGAGAACGATTGATTGTCAGTCATGTCTGCAGGGCTCGCTGCGAATGCGCACTCGTGTTTCATTAGCAGGAAGGCGTCGGTCAAGACGCACTGGCCAGTCGTTGTCAGGTTCCGCGGCTGCCCGCTAGACGGGAAGGTAGATGTCTTGCACGCGCCGCGCCTCTCTCCCACCGAGCCCGCCATGGGGCCGAGGAGGTGGCCGAGGCACCGTGGGGGGTCGCACTATGACGCGGAGAGGGTTGCGAGCCAGGATGAGTTGGATGACTGCGATTGTCGGTTTGTCGGTGCACTCGAGCACGAGCTCGCTGAGCACCGCGATGCACAGCGCGAGCCGCGGCGATTCGGGTGCGCCGCCGAGCCAGAGGCGGCGCCTGCATCTGCCGTGCGCGTCTCGGGAGGGCCATTTCCCTTAGGCAGCATTGGGGGCAGAGGGCGGCGGTGGATGAGCCAGCGTTTGCCCGAGATTCTCTATCTTTGGCATGGAGGTCGGCGGCGGGGCGCGGAGCGCACGGGTTGCTGCGCAGTGTGTCTCGAGGCCCCGCGCAAGTCAGCGATGATCCCGACTGGCTCTCCTGGGCAACGTCTTATAGTGGCAGTTATCAAGCCGCCTCGGAGCAGCTGGAGGCTTCGCAGCAAGATGTCGAGCAAGGAGCCGCGCGTGCGGAACGTCAGTTTGCCTCCTCTCGCGGCAAGCAGCGGCACGCCTGGGTCAGCACCGCAGCCGCGAGCGGCTCGGGCCAGGGGCGCAAGTGCACCCGGAGCCCGATTGGATGGACCCAATCGGAACTCGGGATCATTGCTGGCAAGGTGGCTCCGCCGGGGCCCCAGGGCCTAAGTGCCCCGACCCTGCCAGGTCCTCACGGGGCAGATCAAGTTGAAGGCTCCGCATGGCGTGGGCATCTCGGACAGCTGCATGCCTGCAAGGAGCGCCCAGGACACTCGAGGTGCCACCAGGAAATTCCGCAAGAGAGCGGTTCCAGGGATCGACGGCCTCGGGCCCAGGGGCTTAGACATGGCCACCGATGGGCTCCTGAACATCCTCGGTATTCCGCGGTACAAGTTGGAGATCCTTAGCACATGCCCCCTCCCCCCCCCCCCCCATTGTGACCGAGATCCTCGCGATGCTCGGTGAGCCCGATGGCGGAGGTTTCAGACCTATCGCTCCGCGCCTCACCCCGTCTCGGGTCTTTTCAAAGCTGGCGAGGCGTGAAGTTAAGCCGTGGGAGCGTGATAATCGGCGCCCGCGTCGCTGCGGCCTCGTCGGCATCGCTGCGTGCTGATCGTCGGCCTCATCGCATCGCTTCAGAGCACAGGAGTGGGACAGCATCGCAGAGTAGGAGGGCGCGCTGGTTCCGCGCTCATAGACTTGACGAAGGCCTACGAGATGGTTTGCCATTTCCTTAGAGCGAAGGCTGCAGTCAAGTATGGCTTCAGCCTCACCAAGCTACGTCTGCTCCTCTCGCTGTACCGTGGCAAGCGTATAGCGCAGGTGCTTGGAGTGGTATGTGCCCCAGCCGTGGCCCTGCAAGGCATCTTAGCTGGCTGTGGTTTTGCAGCGTCGCTTCTTGCCTTGATGCAAACAGAGCCGTTGGACACGGTTAAGGAGTTGTTTCCGGGTGTGTCTTTGTTCAATGTAGTCGACGACATCGCGGCGCTGGCAGCGTGGCATTGCAGCCATGTTGAGAGCGTGCTGCCACGGGCGGCCATGTTGAGAGCGTGCTGCCACGCGCGTTGCTTGAGGGGCGGCATTTCGTTATCTAGCAGCCGAAGGAGGTGATGCTCAGCAGTCATTCCTCGACCAGGGTGATGAATGTCCGCACGCTGCGCAGGCGGAATTCCGAGGGTGGAAAATTCCTGGCGCAACTTGGGGGTCGATCGGACCATGCAGAAGGGCTCTCGAGGGGCCAGGACTCCAGCGAAGAGGTTGCAAACGCTTCGGGTCCGCGGCAGCCGTGTCAGCGGTCTGCGCAGCTCTCGCAAGGGCATGTTCAGGGTGGCGAAGTCGGGAGGGGGGGGGGGGGCCTCGCTTCAGCTACGGGTGTCGGGCGCAGGGCATGGCGACGACACGCTTGACACAGTTGCGCAGCACATTGGGGCAAGCACTGTTTGGGGCCTCCAAGGGTCGGTGCCGCGCGCTGGAGTTCCTTCTGTCTGTGGGCCCCAAAGCGGACCCGACGCGCGATGTGCATCTTTTCCCGATCCTCACTTGGGGCTAGGTTGCACGGCACGAGTGGGCCCAGCACTAAGCAAGCTTGTTTTCGAGACGTCCATGGTAGTCCAGACCGCGGATGGCAGGATGTCCGAGGGCCTGCTGGAGCAGGCGCGCTGAAAGCTGAATGACTCAGCCGGCAGTTCCCCGGTTGGAATATGTCCCGTACCAGAGCTGGGGTAGAACTGAATGCGCTGGAGATTGGATACCGATCCCTAAAGATGATCCTGGCCCAGAGCGTTCGTGATATGATTTAGGGTGGTCTCGGGGATGGGGTTCGTGTCCGAGGACTCCGGGGAATTCCACTACTCGAGCCGATCGTGAAAGTTCTTGGGGAGCTGAGGAAGCAGGGAAGGTACGCAGCAGCGACAGGACTTGCAGGAGTTGTAGCAGGATGGTATCCCACACAGTTCAAAATGTTCGACGACAGGCGAGTGGTGGACCCGCTCTGCCAGGCCTGTGGCGCTGCCGCCGGAACCCCGGCCCACAGGTTCACGCGCTGCGATTTCTCAGCCGCCGTTCGGAGGGATTTCGACGCTGCAGCTGTCCTTGGCGAGCCCGGAAGTGAACAAATCGAGCTGCTCCTTTCACGTGGCCTCGCTGTGGCACCGACCTGTGGCCTGCGCCGTACACAGTTGCTGGCCACGAGTGGGATGTGGCGCCACCAGGGGGAGTGAGTGCTCGGGGCCCGCGTGTATATCGATGGGTCTGGACTGGACCCCGAGCTCCCACAGTTCTCCACTGCGGGGTGGGCTTCTGTCTCGGTGTTTAAAGATGGGTTCGGCGGGTGGATACATGGTCCGGCGTATGGCCCACCCCCACATGCGGTCCAGATTGCTGGGTGTGGGGCGGTGTATGGCCCTGAGCCCACGGAAGTGGCGACCGATTGCGCCATGGTGATATCCGCGTGGAACGATGGGGCCTCGCAGAACCGTGAGAAAATCGCCTTCTCGGAGCCTTGGGCTGACATCTTCAGGATCAGCGATGACATCGGTAGGCACATGATCACCGTTCGTAAGGTAGAGTCTCACTTGCCCCTCCACCAGCCCTGTGTGCGTAGAGCTGAAAAGAATGGAAGTGGAGGGGGGACCGCAAGGCGGACGAGCTGGCCAAGAAAGGGGCCCGTCTCCAGCCGTGGAACCCCCACTCGCCAACTATATAACGACAGCCTCCCGCTCGTGCGAGAGGCAGCGTGGCTGATAGCTGAAGTGGTGGGCGGGCTAAGTTCGAGGTCCTTTCCTGGCGTGGCTCCGTTCCGTCGGCCTAGACGGGCCAAGCCGAGTCTCCTGGAGCTGGCTCCTGATCCCAAGGGGCATGCTGTTGAAATATCCGGCAGGTCAGCCTATCGGTGTGTGACCTGCGGCGAGAAAGAAAGTCTCGTGCACCTGTTTGTGTTTTCCCCTGTGGTGGCCCGCCTAGGGTTGCCAGGAATAACCACATGACGCATAGTATGTGGTTGTTGGGAGGCCGTGTTGGCTGGTGTTCGCGCTGCGGGGCTTTCGGCGAGGCCCGTTCCCACAACCTCAGCGCTAAGTGTCGCGGGGGTCCTGGCAACCGCCATGCTGCAGGGGGTTTAACCAAACTCAAGAATGGCATCGACCCCAGCACTACGTCGTATGTTGGGAGGTCGGTGCCTCTTGTGTGGTCGTTGCAGGGTTGGGTCGCGGCGGACCCCCCTGCACGATGAACTGCTACATTTTGTGCTACCTCATTGCAGCATCGTGCAGAGGCAGGAGGAGGAGGATATGGAGGATATGGTGGCGGATGAGGAGGAGGATATGGAGGATATGAAGGATATGGAGGAGAATAGGAAGGAGGAGGAGGAGGAGAATATGGAGGAGGAGGACGAGGAGGGGGAACAGGAGGAGGAGGAGGAACAGCAGGAGGAAGAGGAGCAGCAGGAGGAGGATCAGCAGGAGGAGGAGCAGGATGATGATGATGATGATGATGATGAGGAGGAGGAGGAGGAGGAGGAGGAAAAGGAGAAGGAGGAGCAGGAGGAGGAGCGGGAGGAGGAGGCGGAGGAGAAGGAGGAGGAGGAGGAGGAACAGGAAAAGGAGGAGGAACAGGAGGAGGAGGAGGGAGGCGGAGGAGGTGGCGAAGGCAGAATGGAGAGGGGGTTGGCAGGAGGAAGGAATAGAGGGAGAGAGAGAGAGAGAGAGATGGGCTGGAGAACGAGTGCCAATGGAGAAGCACTGGTCAGGTCCCCGCAGAAACCCCACTTCGCTGCCCCTACGTACACCCTCAGGGCTGCCCCGGCCCCCTCACCTGGAGCGGGGCCACCTCCTGCCAACGCTGCCCCCCCTCCCATATGGCCGACATGCAGCCGCACGCTGCCAAGGCGCGCCGCGCACCGCCGCCACGGCCCCCAGTGGGGTCCACGTGGGTCATTGGCACTGGGGAGGGCGAGCCGTGCTTTGACGAGGAGGACAATGAGGAGGAGGAGGAGGAGGAGGAGGACGAGGAGGGGGAAGAGGAGGAGGAGGAGGAGGAGGAGGAGGAGGAGGAGGAGGAAATGCACGAGCAGGAGCAGGAGCAGGAGCAGGAGCAGGACGAGGAGGAGCAAGAGCAGGAGCAGGAGCAGGAGCAGGAGGGCGAGAAGAGGGGGGAGGATCACGAGGACGACGGGAGGTGGAGGAGGGAGTGAATGACGAGGCAGGGGAAGCGAAGGCTCAGTGAACGGGCGACATCCACCGCGTGGCCGGACGCGGAGGGGGTGATGGATAGCCACAGCTTCGAGGCACCCACTGTGTGTGGACTGCGGTTCTCCTTTGAGGGACTGCATCGGCTAGCTCTCACCCCCTCCTCGTCCCGAAATCGCAAGGGTATGTTCCTAGATCGGGGCCTCGCCCGATAGAGGGCATGTGAGGGCGGCCGTGCACCGTCTTGGCGGCGGTGAGCCAGCGGCCCCCCTCAGCTTTCTACACAAAGAACAAGCTTGGCGCAGAGAAAGGCGCGCGTCTTGAGGATGGCACACGCGTCGATCGGCACGCTAGCGAGTGCCGTGGGAGTGCCTGGAGGGGGTGTCGATCCGATCGGATCGACAGGCCTTGAGGTCTTACACGGGAGTTCGCAGCTTGTGGGCGGGTTTGGTTTCCCATAGCCAGCCTCCACTGGATTACCCCACGTCTTGACCTCGACCCGCGCTCACGAGACAGGGGGTCGCACGAAAGGCACACCGAATACGAACCGGCCTCTCGGCATATAAGAAGCGGACATTTAAGACACGTACGAGCCCTTTGGGACAAGTTAGTAACGTCAGGGATAGAAAGAGTGCCCCTGGACTTCTCGCGACAAGAGTTCTTATCGTGCGTGCCCGCTGTACCTCGGCTGCCTCGCGTGCGGGAGGGGCCCGCGAACTCCTGAACCAGGCCGTACTGGTGCGCGAGACATCGCGCCTGGTCCAAGAAATCAGCGCCGATCCAACAAATCAGCGCGGGGAGGTCGATGCAGAAAAAAAACATAAGCTGAATTTATTTGAGCTCCGCGCGGGTTTAGTGGATCGGCGCTGGGCCCCCCCAGCGACGCCTCCAGCTCCACCCCTTGCGCGCTCTGCGCGCCAGGGAAAGCGGTCCAGCGCCGATCCAAGAAAATTCGGGCGGACGTCTGAGAATGGATGTTTATGTTTGTTGTGCTCGTCTAGGAGGGGGGGGGGGGGGGGGGGGGCGCGCCCTGGCGTGTGCGGACCAAGTGGACCAGGCGAGGGCGGAGGAATGATCTCCAAGCTCAGACCTTACGAAGGTGAAGCACAGTTGGACTCCCCGTCCTCCCATCTGCTGCTCTTCCGCGCGCGCGCCGCCTGGCTGTTGTCGTTCTGGGGGTCGCTCACGGTCACCCCTGTGACGTCATCGGACGGGCGCAGGCGCACGCAGACGGGGGGGGCGGACTCGGCGCGCACTCGAGAAGGCGCGGGTGGTCGCGTGCCTCCCTCTGAGACTGCAGATGTTCATCGGCCCCCATCTATCCCCCCCACTCGTACCACCCGTCGTGCTGCCACGCTCGCTCTCCTCGTCAGCCGATCCTCTCCTCCACCCCTGAGAACGGGGGAGGGGGGAGGAGAACAGAAGCGGACGGAGCATAGAGCTCTGGGAGGAGTCGCCGCCCTCGCGCCGGGAGGTTCCTGGCCAGGCACGCGACCACGCCAGCCGGAAGAGCTCGGCCACCTTCGCTGTCGGCGACCGCGTGCACGTCTGGAGCAACTCCACCCGCCGTTGGATAGAAGACGGCCGCGCGCCCATCCCGTTGGGAGGAGTACCCTCGGGAGGCAGAAGGAAGAGTTGAGGGGGTGGAAGGGGCCCCTCCCCAGCAGCAGGAGGAGGAGGAGGAGGAGGATTAGGAGGAATGAGGAGATGCTGCGCTGGGCGGTGGGGGGGCATAACGGCCTCGGGCCCAGCTGGCTGCGCGCTCGCTGGCAGACAGCTGTCGAGAGGCGTGGCCGACAGGCAGAGGTAGCCCAGATGGGTCAGGGGCACTTGGGGGCGCAGCAAGTTAACAAACGCCTGCCCCTCCCACTCCTCCCCCCGTGGCCCGCCCCCTCCCATGGTCCGCGGCAGAAGGCATCCACCAAACTCTGGCGAAAGAAGTGCGGCTCTCCTGATGCAGGGGGTCCGACAGCAAGACTCTGACGGCAGGTTCCCTGGCCGCCCTGGCCCACATTCAGCCTTGAGCAGCCCTTCACGGAGGTCGCTCTGTGCGAGACAGAGGGGCGGCCGTGCCGCGCCCTCGTTGTGTGGCCAGCCATTTCCCTAGCCGTCAGAGGCGCCCTGGAAGGAGGCTGCCCTGCCTGTCGGAGCGGTCGTGCGGTCCCGGAGAGCCTCTGAGGAGGAAACATCGGGGCGTTCATTAAGAAATGTGCCCAGGAGGCTCCAGACCCTCAGGGATTTCTTGTCTGATGAGGGCGGCAGTGGTGTACATGACTGAGCCTGAATTGTCGTTCCACCGGCTTTCAGACCCTGCATTCTTTCTCAAATGGTTCCTTACCCGATGCCCTCACCGTGCCGATACAGCTGCTCGTCTTGCAGAGCCCTCGCCGCCACGGTTGGATCCTTGAGATTCTGGTCAGAGCGCACCCCAGGAGAGGACGTGGAGTAACGACATCGGTTCTTTTCTGTCCTCCCGGGGGGGGGGGGGGAGGAGGTGGAAGCTCGGGGGCCCCCAAACGGGGTGGTGACCACACCGTGCGGTGAGTCGGTGGGGATTCGGGGTCACCGCACGGTTTTGGGAATCGAGTCCCTCTCCGAGGACGTCTCGGGCGACAGGGGCCTCCAGGGTCCCCAGACCGTGCGGTGACGGACCGTGCGGTGAGGTCTCTTACGGTTCCGAGGTCACCGCACGGTCTGTCACCGCACCGTTTCGGGACTCCAAAGAAGCACAGGAGGGGCGGCGATAGCAGGTCGGGGAAGCGCAAACATGGATTCAGGCGCGTGGGTTTGCGACGGGCCCCGCGTCCACACACAGTCGGCGCGCTCGGTTGCCAAATGAGGCCACAGTGGGTGTTTCGGGGGTAGTTACCTTCCCCGATCTGTGGGGCTGGCGCCCACGCGCCAGATCCACAGATCCGCAATCCGCGCTAGCTTGCGCCCGAGCACAGGGAGGGGAGGTGCAGTTTGAAATATTTCGCAAACAGCGGGACGTGTCTGCCCCGCTAGACTTCCACTCCCTCCTCGGACTCACCCTGACCTTGCCCAGCCAATCCTTCCCCAGGATTTCCGCATGCGCCACTCACTCCGTTAATACCCTCTCCCTGCAAGGATAGTGCCTTCTCTATACACACATATATATATCTATGTATATAACACACACGCGCGCACGCACATACACATACACACATACATACGTACGTATGTACGTACGTATATAGATACATGCATACAGACATACTATTAGACTGCAACTATATGTGTGTATGCAACACAGACGCACACATCCATACAGACATACATACAGACAGACAGGCAGACAGACAGACAGACATACATCATGCATACACACATTCACACATGTACACATTAACACATACATACATGCATATGCATATATATATATATATATATATATATATATATATGTGTGTACATCTACATATACATCTACATCTACATTTACATACATACATACAGACATACAGACAGACAGACAGGCAGACAGAGAGGCAGACATACATGCATACATCCATACACACATGCATGCATAACTATATGCATACATGCATGTAGGCATACACGCATAAATACACACCTACGCACATACGTACGTACATACATACATACGTGCATGCATGTATGCACACATATATACATGCAAGCACACATGCATGCACACATTCATATATGCATGCAGATATGCATACTTGCATACATGTTTACATGCATACATGCACACATGCGTGCATGCATACATGCAGGCATGCCTGTATGTAGACAATATTACATTCATGCATGCATGCATACATACATACATACGGAAGAGCGTGTTCTGCCGCTGCTGGCAGAAGTCCAGGGGGGGTCACTGGGAGTTTCCAACCCGTCGCCCCCACCCCCTCCTCGAAAACCGGGGGGGGGATCACTGGGGGTTCAACTCCCCCCCCCTCCCCCGGTCCATCATGAAAAAGGGGGGGTCGCTACCGGTTCGAACCCCACCCCGGTTCGAACCCCACCCCCCCACCTCCTTCGCCGCTAGCAAACGACTCCTCCTCCTCCCCCACTCCGGACAGTGAGACAGCGGTGGGGACTGGGGGTTTTGGGACAGTGGTGGGGACAGTGAGACTGTGAGACAGTGGTGGGGACAGTGGGGACATTGCGGAGAGTGGGACCGTGGTGGGGACAGTGGTGGGGACAGTGGGGACAGTGCGACAGTGATGGGGGCACTGGTGGGGACAGAGGGGACAGTGGTGGGAACAGTGGCGACAGCGGGACAGTGGTTGGGACACTTGGGACAGTGGGACTGTGGCGGGGACGGTGGTGGTGGGGACAGTGGTGAGGGGACAGTTTGGACAGTGGTGGGGACAGTGGGGACAGTGGAACAGTGGTGGGGACGGTGGTGGTGGGGACAGTGGTGAGGGCGGTGGTGAGGACGGTGGTGGGACAATGGTACAGTGGTACAGTGGGGACAGTGGTGGGGACAGTGGAGACAGAGGGACAGCACAGTGGGACAGCAGTGGGGACAGGGGGGTGGGGACAGTGAGACAGTGGTGGGGACAGTGGGGACAGCGGGGAGAGCGGGACCGTGGTGGGGACGGTGGCGGGGACAGTGGGGACAGTGCGACGGTGGTGGGGGCACTGGTGGGGACAGCGGTGGGAACAGTGGGGACGGTGGGACAGTGGGGGGACATGTGGGACAGTGGGACACTGGTGGGGACGGTGGTGGTGGGAACAGTGGTGAGGGCGGCGGTGGGGAGGACAGTGGTGGGGACCCAGGAGTCGTTTGCCGGCGGCGAGAAGGGGGGGGAGGGGGGGGTGGAGGGTTTGAACCCGTAGTGACCCCCCCCCGGTTTTCCGACGGGGGGGGGTTCGAGTCGAACCGGTAGTGACCCTCCCCGGTTTTCTGGAGGGGGGGGGGTTGGGGGGGGAGGGGTAAGGAGGGGGTGGGAGGGGTTCGAGCAGGGGGGGGGAATTGTCCACTGATAAGCGGCGGTGGATCACGCTCTCTCATATATACATGCATGCATACATACATACATACATGCATGCATGCATACACACAATCAAACGAACATACATGCATACACACACACTACACTCATGCATACATGCATACAGACATATATGTATGCATCCCTTCTTACATGTATACATACGCATGCATCTGTACATGCACATGCACATGCATATACACATACACGTACACATGCACATACACATATATACTCATACACATACACATACACCCATGGACATGCACAGACACATGCACATGCACATACACACACATACCGGCATGCATACATACATGCATGCATGCACGCACGAATACTTACACACATACATATGCATACATGCATGCATACATGCATGCATATATTTACATACCTGCAACAGGTCAGAACACATACGCATATACACACAACACACACACAACACACACGCACACATACTAACACACACACAAGCACCCACAACACACAACACACAACACGCACACACACACATACACACAACACACATATACACACACGCACACGTCCATCCCGTGGACCCCATTGACTGACAGCTACGGGTGAGGCACAGCGCTCCCAAGGCGATATGCTGCAGTCCTGAAGTGCCGAACGAGGTGCCCCAGGCGCGTGTGAGCCTGGCAGAGACAAGCCTGCCACTGAGGCACACCTGGAGCGAAGCGTTCCAGTCCAGCGTCAACCGCTCCCTTTCGGCCCATTTGGAGCACAGGCCCCGGCGGGTCGCCGCCTCTGGGCGGGGGGGGGCAGGGCCCAGCTCAGGGCCAGGAGAGCCAAACAAGGGAGGCATCGCTCAGACGTGTGCACATTCCTCGGCAAGGACCATCGAGAAGCATCTGAGATCCTCTCGCGAAAAAAACATGCACGAGACCGAAGAACGCACTGGGGATGGACGTCCGAGCGATGGCGAGCTCCACGCTGGCCGACGCGCCCTGGCCACAGCCCCCGCTCCCACGGGCCGACACCTGGTACCCCCGGTCTGGCCGAGAGCGTGGGCGCGGGATTTCGGGCCGCTGCGCGGCCGAGTGCGGGCGCAGGGCCGCGCAGCGGCGCGCACGAGAGACCGACGCTTCTGCCAGGCTTCTGGCGGCGCGCCGGCTGGGGAACTTCGGGGGGGGGGGGAGTTTCGGGCTCAGAGCTTCCAGGTTCTCCAGCGCCCTCGTCGGTTCTCGGCGGTTTCCCAGCCTCGGGATGCGTTCCGGCGGCTGCGCCCCGCCGAGAGCGTTCAGGGGGTGCCCAGATCGTCCCGAAGGGCCAACGAGGAGCCGAGTCATGACCCTATAACAACCAGGCGTCCGAGAGGGGGCGGGCGTTCTCAACAGGCGGCGGGGCTTCTCGGAAGCCCTCGTGCCTGCTGTCAAGCCCTCGGTGGCCTCTGAGAAGGCTTCGGAGCTCTTGGACGAGGGGGAGGTTTGCGCAAATCTGGAAGACGGCCCTGAGGACATGGTTCGGGAGGATGTTTTGGCAGAGTTGCTCCAGATGGAGTTCACAGAGATCAGGCCTAGGGAGTTGTCGGCAATGGTTCCTCAAACATGCAACACGTGGACCCCAGAGCC